TACCCCCGAGACCAACATTTTATTGAGGATCAGAAATTGGCCTGCTCAGTCCCTGGAGAATTCCAGAACTTGGGAATGTTCCTCTTGGAGTACCATTCCCAGAATCATCCACACATCATCCATGTTTTCCCACCCAGCTCTGTATAATTTTAGGCCTTGGATGGGTTAAACATCGCTCTTTGTTTACAACCAGGTAGGTCTTTTGTGCTTGTTGTGTGTTATGTGTATCCAAAAGGGATAAACACTAATCGTACACATGTTTGGCATGAATTGCCAAGGTTGTACCCTGCCTCATCAGTTCTTTTGCCTCATTCTTGGCTGGAATTTGGCATGGTTTTTAAAAATCTCCTTGAGGTGTCTCTTCCAGTGAAACAACCTAAATTGACAATAAGGTAGAATTTGGCAAATATTCTTCACATCTTTTTCCTGGAGGCATCTCCTAGAAATGGAAGTATCTACAATAATGGAACAGTAGCAAGGACATACAGGTGGGGCTAAAGCAAAGATAGGTGTGGACATATGTAAATTTGTACCATAATTGGACAATTCCCCCACCAATCTTGCAAAACAGTGCCTCCACATGTCTACTCTAGAGTAAGCCCCACTATGCCAGAATAACAGCACTGGTGTCTGGCTCAGCCCTTGTCCACTTCCCATAATTAATAGGCACAGAATAAACAATGTGAGACAAAAATAAACAATGGACAAACTGTTCAGGTCAGAGAATCTACTGTTTTTTGTGTGTGTGTTGTTGTTGTTGTTGTTGTTGTTGTACTTGAGTTGCGTTGCATCAGAAGTCATCATTTTAACACTAATGGATGCGGATTGCAAAATATTGAGGCACTACACTGAAATTTTGTCCTGTCTGATCTTAAGCAGCCATTCTGAGGAAGGTGCAAAAAATTGCAATCAAAATAATATTTTATAAAATCTCAATAGCTAAAGGGCACTTGAAGAAGGTTTATAATATTACTCTTCTTTTGGAGAAGGAGAATTACTTTCCTATTCTTCCATAACCAGGATCACCCGGCAGAATGGACAGGTGTTAGATTTTGGGGTGGGTGGAGACACATTTCAGCATATAATTAACTCAAGTTTTTCATTGAAACACAATGTTCAATGACCACTAGCTTTGCATACTGTAGCTAAAGGGCACTTGGAACCCTACAGCGTTTCACCCATCCTGGGGTTCAAAAGATGGTGGAAAATAGGAACTAGAGTGGCTCTCTAGAGGGATTCCTGACATATGGATCCTCCATGTACAAAGGCAGTATATCAGTTGTAGGGAAGTGACAGAGGGTGAGATCTGTTGCCTTCAGGTCCTGCTTTCTCAGCTTTGTGGAAACACCTTCTTTCTTCTGCCATGGTGGCTACGTATGACCTTCAATACAGTATGCTTGGAAAAGCTACTTTGCAAGATTCCAAGACCCCAAAATTCCCAGTAATGGCTGATGGATTATGGGATGAGAGATGAAAACAGAAGTCAAGGAGACCTTCAGTCAGATCCGATGTGATGCTTCTTGTCTTTTCCCCGTGGTCAGAGGAAGAGAGTTGGTGCAGACGGCCCACACGGCTTCCAGTTAAAACCTTCCACCGTCTCCGAAGCTGCTTTCACTGCAATTACGCAGTGCGCCCTTGGATTTCTATCGCTCAGGCGGTTGGTTGCTTGGACAAGTCGGTTTCTCTTGCAGAGCCTAATTGAGACTTTATTCCGTCTTTTCTTCAAAAAACTAAAAATCCCCCCTTTTCCCCAACTGGCTGTTGTTTCACAATCCTTTCTTTTTCAGGGGAAAGGAACAATTGAGCGGTGCCAGCCAAAGAAGTTCTGAACAACAACTCTCCTGGGAAATTATAGGTAGCTTTTTACCTCTTTCATCCAGATTTAGCTCTCACCCCCACACGGTTAAAAAAACAGTTTGGGATTTTGTTCCTGCCATGACAAAAAACGAAGTCCTCTGTTGTCTCCACCAAGTCACAGGAGAACAACTCCTCACCGCTTTCCACATCCCTCTTGCAATGAAGGATGTTTTCTAATGATGATTTCCCACTCCCGCTCCTCCACCCCCAATGGTCATGCTTTCAACTTGCACCACTCATGACGATTCAAAGGTTCTTCTAAACTGGAAGCCATGTACCCACGCTTTGCCAATTAGGGCATTTCCACTCAAGCACAAATCCCTCAGAAATGTCCCAAAACAGACTGGGGGGGCACTGCCCTCCACATTGGTGAGGAATATCAGAAGGCCTCTGAAATGATTGATATGTTTCCAGTGGGCCTGTTTTCTTCCTCGAGTCTGCTGGGATTTTTAGAAAGGGGGATAAAAGTTGGATGTTTGAAATAAAGGAACTCACCTACCAGTGATTATAATGGGCCTGTTTGCAGGGAAGCTCATCTCCTGCAATTATTCCAGAAAATGCACAAGTGTGTTTCAAGAATAGGACATAAATAGGAATGGCACAATTCTGAGAACAGAGCTTCTTATAAGGGTGTGGGTTTTTTTAAACAAGAGTTGTAAAAAGTATCTTTTTTTTTCAGCTGCAGCCACAGTTGCAGAATCTCCTGACTGTGGGAGATATGGCTCAGTAACAAATAACTTTTCTATGTCCCTCCCTCTTCTTCTTCTTAATTCCACCTTTTCTTGCAAGGAACTTTAGGCAGCATGCATAGGCCCCTTATCTTCCAAATAGCCCTGCAAGGTAGGAATGAATAAAAGATAGTGACTGGCTCAGACTCACCCAGGAAGCTTCAGCACTGGATGAGAATATGAATGCTCCTGGATTATGTTATGGCCTTTTGCACTGCATCACACATTTATACTGGAAAGGTGCGGTAGCCAAGAAAGCCAGCCATGAGAAACTTGACTATTTCCTTAATGAGTTGCCTTAGTCAAGCTAGTATCAGCCTTCACAGGCCAGATGCATTATTGGAGGTGAGGAGATAAGGCCCTGAATAGGGATGAACATTAGCAGAATTAGCCACATTTTCAAGAGAGTAAATGAAAAAGACCCTGACAGCAAAGGCCAGAATTACATTATCTTAGGTAAAGGTTCCCCTTGACTTTTTTTTTTAGTCCAGTCATGTCTGACTCTAGGGGGCGGTGCTCATCCCATTTTTCAAGCCGTAGAGCCAGCACCTGTCCGCAGACAGTTTCCATTATCACGTGGCCAGCGTGACTACGGAACGCCATTTTATCTTCCCACTGAGGTGGTACCTGTTTATCTACTCGGATTTGCATGCTTTCGAACTGCTAGGTTGGTGAGGAGCTGGGACAAAGCGACGGGAGCTCACTCCATCATGTGGATTCAATCTTACGACTCCTGGTCTTCTGACTCTGCAGCACAGGCTTCTGCGGTTTAGCCCATAGCGCCACCACGTCCCCTTACATTATCTTAAGCTCACTCTTATTAACAAATTGGGAGGTCAGCACTCGCTGTGGGTCTAGTCATTATTCATTCCCATTAGATCACCTTCACAACTGGGAGCAGGTAGAGGCAAGGTCATCAGCAGTCCATTTGTCAAAAGTTCTGGGTTTCTTTACAGATAGCACAGAAGAGCAAGCAAGATGTGAACTTCCACGTTGTCTCCCTCAAGGACTTTGCTGACAACACACAAAGAATTTATCACTTCCAGCCTGGCCTTTATCTGATGTCTAGCTGTTTCCAAAGAGCACCAAGACAGCTTTGAAATGCTGGTTGTGCTCTTGCTCTAATATTTTCACCCTGTGCCTGCCCTTGGGACACATGAGATTCACATCTATTGATATTTCTTGATCTTCTCATACTTTCCTGCTGAGTGTGCTGATTCAAGAAGCATTTTGAACAACATTGAGCACTGGAGCACTGAATTTCCCTTCTAAGCCACCCTGTCCTGGCTCCATATGGTCTTCTTCCTCTTCCGAAGCCAAATCATCAGGATAAAGCCTGGCAAACTCAAAGACCAGCCTTCTTAGGTGCTTACTCTATAAAGGAGAATTAAATTTTTCCTGATATTCAGCCTAAATCTGACTTCCTGTAGCTTGAACCCATTGTTACGTGGCCTTATTTTGGGATGATCAAGAACAGATCATGCCTCTCCTCTGTGTTTAACACCTTCCATGCATTTGAAGAGTGCTATCCTATCTCCCCTCAAGGAGCCCAGTTCTTTCAGTCTTTCCTCATAGAGGATGATCCAAAGATGATCCAGCCCCCTGATCATCTTTGTTGCCCTCCTCTGAACTTGTGCAAGAAAGGTCTCCATAAAGTGAAATTTCATGAAAAGCTAGTGGCATGGTGAAAAGTGGTTGCTGATGTATTCATAGCATCTTAGCAGAGCAGTAGGGACGTGGTGGCGCTGTGGACTAAACCGCAGAAGCCTGTGCTGCAGGGTCAGAAGACCAAGCAGCCGTAAGATCGAATCCATGCGACGGAGTGAGCGCCCATCGCTTGTCCCAGCTCCCGCCAACCTAGCGGTTCGAAAGCATGCAAATCCAAGTAGATCAATAGGGACCGTGTCTAAGTCGCACCGGCCATGTGACCACGGAAGATTGTCTTTGGACAAAACGCTGGCTCTATGGCTTGGAAACGGGGATGAGCACCGCCCCCTAGAGTCAAACAGGAATGGACAAAAATTGTCAAGGGGAACCTTTACCTTTACCTTTTTAGCAGAGCAGTATATTGATGGAATTGCTAAAAGCGCATAGTTAGGAATGTAGTAAGTAGCTGGGAAGTTGCCTTTTTGGCCTACAGTTCTCAAGACATCCCTGCCACCAGGGCCACTCAAGTATTCTGAGAGCTGTAGTTCCAAAATTTAATGTGTCTGCATGAGATGATCCAGACACCTTTTCATTTTGAAAAAAAATATATATATTGGTACTTGCATGTTCTTGGAGGAATATCATAGATCTAGCAAAGGAAAGTAAGTGTAGTTTTGAAGGTGGGCATCTTCAAATAGTCAGTGGAGACCTTCCGTGAAATTCCATCACAGCTTTTATTATTGTCAAGTATAGAAGCTTACGCCTTGCCTCAGTTCCCCGCCTGTAGAATGGCAACAGAAGCCATGAACATAACAGACCACTTCTTGAGCATGACAGAAATGTCAAAACGTCCTTTGTAAATCTTTTTTTTTTTTTTACAAAAGAGTGTGTTATTCCTCCATAGGATGCCAGTATTTCTGTTCCATCCTTACCCACCATTTTACGTTTTCCTTACCAAGAACCAGTCAGGAATATGTGGCCACAGACCATGCTGTCCTCACTGGGTTGGCTACTTCTTTCTTACCTTTTAAAAATATTTTGACATTTTTTTCCAAACATGAGCCCCCCGCACCTGCCCCCCCAGGTTCCTTTTACATCTGTGTGCATAGACGGCACAGTTTTGGCTACCTGTGTAATGACACTCCAAGCTTAACCAACAGGGAGAATGAAACAAAACTAAGGTGTGTCTCGAAATTATACCCAAAACTATTCATGCAATAATTATTACAGCACCCAACTGCGTGTACATTCTGCGATATAAATATCCTGCGACTAGATGATGTACAGAATACACTGGAGACAGATGGCTCCAGTTTCAGGGTGCGGAATCCGCTCCGGGTTTTAGTCCAAACTGTATATAAACTATCCATGGTGCTGAACTTATTTGAGGGACAGGGTGCAGCATCTCAGATGGCTGATGTAAATTTCAAGCTAAAACCTAGGATGGATCCATTGTGAATCCCTCTGTCTCTCTCTTTTCTCTCTACTGTGAAATGAATTCCTTCCCTAATTGAGGACAGGACCCTATTGGTGGCCCTCATTCTTTACAGAAGCATTTCAGCAGCCTTCCTGGACCTGTTGATCTGTGGCTGAGCTCAACTACAATGCCCATCACCCCCAGCTATCAAGGATAATGGCCTCATCTCCAAAGGCAGGAACCCCTCTCCCTTTCAGCATATGTGGATGGAAAGCACAATGGATAGGACCCCAGAAGCAAGAAGACCCAAAGAATGAGCCATCACACAGGAAGTTACATCGAATGCTTGGTTAAACATAGGAGATTCCCTCCCTCACCTCTCCCTGCCTCTCATTTTATTCAATACTTTGTGTCTACGATGCATTGAGTTAAAGAAGGAAAATATTTCCAGCTACATTCCTTTTACTGAACAGGGAGTTTTAAAAATACATACCCTCCCTCTGCCTAAAAAGAGGCATTCAGAACAAAACAAAACAAAAATCAGTGAAGTTTCAATATTAATTACCATAATACTTCTTAGATAATACTTATTCATGTGTCCATGGATCTCAGACCGGTGAGTCAGTCCCTGTAGTAGCACCCTCCATTTTGGAGGGGGGAAAACCCAAATATACGGAGGGGCCCATCTGAGTTGAGTAATACAGCTGGGAAGAAGTACATTGTCCTGTAGACTTCCATCCCCCACACTTCCCTGGTTGCCCCTCCGTGGTGCACCTGGATTTTCTATAGTTCGGTCAAGTCTCTGTGTTATAAGGACAAGCTGCCTTTCACATCTCCTGCCATCCCATTGGCTCCGTTCAACTCAGCAGCCTCCTGGCCTTCAACTGTGTTCCCCTCCTTCTCTGTTGTTCTCCCTTCCTCCTGTTCCTCTTCCGTCTTCTCCTCCTCTTCCTTCCTTTCATCCGATTCCCCCACAACTAACAGGTTAGCATTGGATGAGTGGCTGAGAAGCCGCCCTTCTTGCAAGGACTCAGCCAGCTCTTTGGCACAGCAGGAGGGCGTGTTGGTTTCATAGGTGCTGTGGAAGCTGTTGTAGTCAACTTCATAAAAGTCCTTCTCCAGAGTGAGGACCGGGGTGAAGCGGTGGCCCCAAAGCACTTCTGTGTCCATATATGAACTCCGAGCCTGACAAGTCATTCCTAGAGGAAAAGAAAGAGAGATGTCACAGAGATACGGAAAAGGAAGGGCTCTTCATGTCACTGTTATAGCTGGTTGACAATACTTTGGACGGTTGCGTCTCTGTCCTAGAGAATACTGGGATTTGCAGTTTAGGTTAGAAACCTCTGTCATGAAGCCCTAAGATCTCATCCAGAACAGTGACAAAAAATTCTAGGTTTTTCACCAAAATGCAAATCCCAGAATACTACATATGGAGCCAATTAGGGTTGGGGTTTTCAGATTTCTTGGGCAACATAACCCATAATTCTCCATTCCGGGAGTTAACATAGCATCCTAGAATCATAGAAAAGTGAAGTTGGAAGGGGTCTACAAGGCCATCAAGTCCAACCCCCTGCTCAGTGCAGGGATACAATCAAAGCATATCTGCCAGGTGATGATCTAAGTTTTTCTTGAATGCCTCCAGGGTTGGAGCACTCACCAACTCCCGAGGTCACTGGTTCCACTGTCGTACTGCTCTAACAGTTGGGAAGTTTTTCCGGATATTCATCTGAAATCTGGCTTCCTTTAACTTGAGCCCATTGTTGCATGTCCTGCAATTTGGGATGGTCGAGAATAGATCTTGCCCCTCCTCTGTATGTGCAGTTCAGGGTAGAGGGAACAAAGATGCCAAGCCAGTTGGCCTAACCCCAGGAAACCTATTGCCACTCAGCTGAGATGCTGACAGAGACAGTGTCAGTGGGCACACCAGAACCAGCAACCAGTGAGATGGAAGGAAATTTGGGCAAGAGACAAGACTTGCTGCTCTCAGTGCAGGCATGCTAACCCTCCCTGCTGTGGATCTCACGATTCTGGTCAGTGGGTATAACTCTGTGGAGTGGTACAAGACCCCTCCTGGTGAAGGCAACTGTGGGGATAGAGGACTCGGATTTAAGAACTGGTTAAAAAACTAGCCCAGGAGAGGTCAAAGACAGTTTGTGTTGTCAACCTCAATTGATAATAAACCCTCATTGATTCAAGCAGCAGTCTCCTCAAAAATGGGCCACACCCTGCAATGCTCACCGCCTTTTCTCCCCACTTTTTGAGGTTAAAAGCCATTTAGTGTTGCAGCCAGACCTGAAAGGAGACTTCCTTGACAAGCCACTTAAAAAATAATAATAATAGGATTCTAATGTCCAAACAAAAAGGACCTAATACTCAATGAACAAAGCTTGACTTCTGGCAGACATTTAAATAAAAAGAGAAGAAGGTGGATGAGAGTGAGGCAACGCTTCAAAGAATAATTTTGAAAGCAGACGGTGCTTTGGGCCAAGTATTTAAATTGCCAAGGCTCTTCCCCATCCATGTTCAGCTTTGCTACTCAATCCTAAAGGCACTCATGGGTTGCTTTCTATATTTAATAAGTAGCCTGACTCTTTCTTAACAAGCAAACACTTTAGCATCCACTCTGCTCAAGGAAATTACAGTGATCTGTGGTTCTCAAATGCATATGCAAGGAAAGGGCAACAGGAGGTGGCTCCTTCTTTTACACCAGTTACCCCAAGGCCATCTATTTATCCATATAGCCAAAGGTCTCTAACAAGGATAGAAAAAGTGTGATCATCCATATAGTGTTAGATTACAGGGTTGTTACTCTTTTAATTCCTCATGACTGGCTCAGCTGGCTAGAGTTAATGGGTGTTTCACCCCAGAGCCATCTATATCCTATCCCTAGTTGATAAAGAGACACCTTTGTTGTTGTTTAGTTGTTTAGTCATGCCCGACACTTCGTGACCCCATGAACCGGAGCATGCCAGGCCCTCCTGTCTTCCACTGCCTCCCGGAGTTGGGGCAAATTCATGTTGGTCGCTTCGATGACGCTGTCCAACCATCTCATCCTCTGTCGTCCCCTTCTCCTCTTGCTTTCACACTTTCCCAGCATCAAGGTCTTTTCCAGGGAGTCTTCTCTTCTCATGAGATGGCCAAAGTATTGGAGCCTCAGCTTCAGGACCTGTCCTTCCAGTGAAAACTCAGGGTTGATTTCCTTCAAAATGGATTTGTTCTCACACAGCTGGACACACACAGCTACATTAGGACTCCTCTGTGTTCACCCCAAGAGAGCTGTGATTTCACTTGAATGGAACACGTGCTAATGTGTTGACCTACGGGAAGACCACCAGTTTGCTTATTAAGTAAAATCCCTGCTGGAGGGGGAATATATGAACATGAAAACATGGTAAGATCTTTATATTGAATCACACTGTCAGTTCATCTAATCTGCTGTTGTCGCTTCTGACCGGCGACAAGTATATATGTATATCTGTGAAGATTCTCAGTCATCCAGGTGAGATTATCTGGAAGTTGAATCATGGCAACTGGACTTCTTTCTTATTAGGCTGAAACGTTTTGGTACTCATCCAGGAAGTTTCTTAAATTCTCCTCAGACTGAAGAAGCTACTTGGATGAGTAGCAAAACGTTTCAACCTAAGAAAGAGGTGCTGTCGCCATGACTCAACTTCCAGATATGTATATGTATGTGTAGACATGATTCTATGGGAAAGACTAGAATATATTTGCATAATGAAGCATAGTAAAGCGTTCTGACCAATCAGAATGTGTCTAGCATCAGCCAGATAGCTCTGTAAAGGAAGTGGCAGTTGGCAGTCTCTTATATAGAGCTGAGAGGGCTAGTTTGGGGCAAATAGATAGTAGGATACAGTCTGTCAGATACGTGTTAGGTATGCTATAGATGATAGTTGATAGGGTCAAATATGTGAGTGCAATCCAGTAGGGATTTTTTGGTGATTCGACACCCCTGGGGGAAAGGAAGCCTTAGGGAGCTGTGGAACATGGAGGTACAGGGGAGGAAATCTTCCATTCATGTAAATTAAAAATTCCCTTTGCCCTACTGTGATCTCATCTGACTTCCACGGTGCAATCTTACATGGACAGGATTTTAGCAATTCTTTTGCATATTCAAAAAAATGAAGTCTCAGGAGGACAGCAGGAAAGAAAGCACTGTGTACAGAATGAAGAAGAAAAAAGATCATTCTTCTTCTTCTTCTTCTTCTTCTTCTTCTTCTTCTTCTTCTTCTTCTTCTTGAACAGGACAGGGTGGTGGTGGGGATGTATTTCCTACTGGCTGTTGGAAAAAAAATCTTCTGTTACAGCAGGCTTCTGGGCAGACAGTATTAACAAGAACAGTGTTAGTCAGCATTCTGGCTTTGTAGAAAATGCCAGAACCAGGAAGTCCAGAAGCATCTACTGATAAAAGGATGCACCAAAAGAAGAGAGGAAATCCAGAATGTTCCAAATGGGATAAGTGGGCCTTGTTCGTGAAACAGCAGGCTTGGCTGGGATTTCAGTATCTTCTTCTCCGTGGGTCAAGGGAAAAAAATCCTGATTCCGGTACAACTGCGTGAATAACATCCTTGCCTTGGCGAGACTGGTGTAATTTGAACTGATCAAAATTGGCCCTGTCACAAGACACAGTGTGGTAACTGTCTCAGGCAGCAGACGCTGTGGGGGAGGCAATGGCAGCAGCTCCCTTTTCTTGGAGAACAGGATGATGTAGGCCATGTCGTCTGGCCCAGCTTTTGCCGTGCTAGAGGTGGGCAGACTTTGGGCTTGGCTGGTGCTAGTTTAATATTCGGTAGAATCCTAACTGACTGGAGCACATTCAAAATAATGGCTGACGCAGGCCGACATAACTGGAGAATGAAGGGACATGGTGTCTCTAAGTATATGCATAGCCCAAGGATCAGTACAAGTCCACAAGTCCTTCCACACAAAATGTATTCAACCTAATTTGTCTTTGTGTGCATCTCTCTCTCTCTCTCTCTCTCTCTCTCTCTCTCTCTCTCTCTCTCTCTCCATGCATGTAGCTATTTGATATAGTCAAGACAATTAAGAGTAAGGGTCAAACAAGACAACACACCTATCAAGTATTTTTGCAGAGATATTCTTCCAAACAGTGACAGATGCTCATTTCCCATAGCATGCAATGTCCCTTGACTCTGTAATTTATATTCAGCGATGATTTGCGTTGTGATTGGTTACTGGAGGGCAAACACATGCTTACTTTGCAAGTCTGATTGTTGAGGCACATAGCTCTGAGGACAGCCCATTGTGGAAGCCAAAACTTGTCAATTGGGGGAATCAGTGATACCCCCCCAACTCTTACCAATCTTCTGCAGATCATGCAGAGATTGATCAATCATAACCTACCTTCTATCCACCTCCACCTTATTAAAGCCTGCTCAAAAACACTGTTGTTGCTTGTTTGAGCCAGTTACCTGAGCCAAGGATTGAACTCAGGTGATGAGCAGAGTCTTGACTGCAATACTACAGTTTTACCACTGTGTCACGGGGTCCTTCTATAAGCAAATAAACAAATAAAATATCATGATTTTGGAATTCCTTGTCATCACATTCATAAGACACATACATGCCCACACAGACACAGCCAGGCATAATGACTGACACCTTTCTAATGATCAGAGTCAGCACAATCTATTTTGATGGTTTTAACAGAATAGCAGGAAACAGCTTGTATCCCATAAGTGAGAGTGAGACTCTCGGGGACCCAGGCAAAAAGGGTCTAGAGTACATTGCCACAAAATAAAGGAAAAGCATTTCGAAAACAGAGACATATAAAAATCGCACAATTTAAATATGTGTGCAATTTGGCATTGGTAGCCAAGAGAGGGCCACCCTTGGCACAAAATGGCAAGAAACACAGGTTCTGAGTGGCAGCATGGGAGATGAGACACTGGCCAGAATCCTACTGGAAATGTACATGTGCATAAGTCACACTGTGTTAAGTGGCAATAGCATATTGCTGCTAATTAATGAGGTGCTGGCTGTGCTCCTGGTCATGCATCCAAATGAATGTGTGTTCTAGAGCACAACTGGCACTCTGTTCGTTTGTGCTACCATAACTCATGTGATTTAACTTATGCAAAGGCCAATGTCCAATAGGATTCTGGCCACTGTTTCTTTGGCTGTGTTTTTCTCTATAGTGTGCCAGTTTGAAAGGATCATA